TACTTATCCATTCGCGACATGATATATATGATATGCGATAATATGCCACCCAAGATGGCGGACCAGAAGCTGGCCAGTGACGTCACTGAAAACCCCCTATTAGCCTTCTGAGCCAATGAGCAAACACATTGCACCATTACAACACTGGAGTGATTTTTTTTTTTTTTTTGCTTTAATCCTTGCTACTGAGTTTTTAGTTAAACTTGCGGCACTGCCCGGCTTTGACTGACTCGTTTCTTTGCAGCGGGGTTCCGGCTGTGGTGGACTTTGCGGCCATGAGGGACGCTGTGAAGAAACTAGGTGGAGACCCAGAGAAGATCAACCCCGTCTGTCCCGCCGACCTCGTCATCGATCATTCCATCCAGGTGGACTTCAACAGGAAGTAAGACCGTCCAGCCGTCAGTGCTGGTCTCCGTCCTTCGGCCATCCCTCATCTGTTGTTTGCTTCGTCCTCCAGGGCCGACAGCCTTCAGAAAAACCAGGATCTGGAGTTTGACCGGAACAGAGAGAGATTCCAGTTTTTGAAGGTGTGCAGACTCCTAAGCTTCTCTCTGTCCGTCTCGCTTTAAATGGCGGGTTTTGTTATCGCCTCTGTTTTTCTCACAGTGGGGCTCCAAGGCCTTCAAGAACATGAGGATCATTCCTCCTGGCTCAGGAATCGTTCACCAGGTCAACCTGGAGTATTTGGCCCGGGTGGTGTTTAATCACGACGGCTTCTGCTACCCGGACAGCGTGGTGGGCACTGACTCCCACACCACCATGATCGACGGTCTGGGTGTTCTGGGCTGGGGTGAGACCTTTATCTGTTTGTTTTTCTATTTAAACCACTGATCCAGATCTTTGCCTGTCGTTTGATTCCACAGCTCCCGCTGCAGATTCATGTGAAGACTTCTTAAAGGAAAGGTCCGGTCAGCAATGAATTATCAATGGATCATTATTCATACCTAGAACTAATACGTCTCGGTGATTTAATGAATTTAGCGTTAATCAGTAAAAACAATAATGATAATAATTTTCGTCACAATCACTGAGTCTGGGGTCGGCCATTTTTTTCCAAATATAGTAACCCCTCCCTCCTGCCTTCTTCCAGCAGTGACGTCACGGTGCGGTTAGCCGAGCGCCATTCTCCCCGCTTTACAAGCTAAATCAATGGGAACTACTAGACACATCTGCAATCAACAACAATTATTGAAGATTTCCAGAGGACTTCACCATTGAAATTCACCAGAGCTATAGTGAAACTGACAATGCCCACGTGCATGGCAGCTGGATGCTGGAATACATCGGGTAAAAGTGAAAAAAAGGGTTATTCCACCTTTCTGATTCCTGATCCTCCACGGACGGGTTGGTCGTTGGATCGCCAACTTGAAGAGGGAGGATTTGCCATCGAACTTCTGGCCAGAGGAAAAACCCGTAATATGTAGCCAACATTTGGAAGAAGAATGTTTTCAAGATGACTTGGATAATAGCACGTTGTGACATACCGCACCGTGACGTCACAAACCAGTAGGTGGCAGTAGTGTTCTTTGACAAACATGGATGCCTCCAGTAAAGCACATTCACATGAAAATTACTCTTAATTAAAAACACTTATTATTTATTGAACAGTATGTAATTTAATTCATTTAGTTTTTTCTTTCACTCAGAAATTTGACAAAGAAGTATATCCTGGTTCCTTTTTATCTCTTCTGAATCAGAACGATGTTCTGCAGCATCAGCCATGTTTAAAGCCCTGGTGTATAAGATTTAAAGGCAAGAACATACCAAATCCTATTTTGCCTTGGATGAGGCATTTAGCGAACTGGAAAAAATAAAATCTTGATAGTTAGACAAAAGGAATATTTTACGCTTGGCAGACGATGATCAGCCACATATAGTTTATTAAGTAGCGAGAGCAGGAAGAACCATACTGCTGGGAGCGAATCTATCTGTGTGAAGCTAAGCTGGCAAAGAAGCATAGCTGGAAGAGCAGGGTTTGTCAAAGTTCAGTGTGCAGTACCGTCGTGCCGCTGCTGCCATGGTCCATCTGTGGTCATGCAGAATGTATATACCGCTGCGCGGCAGGTTGGCGGCATGACCGAAATGGACGCGCTGTTGCCTGTCCTACAAGAAGCAGCACTTACTGCTTAAGAAGTCCTTTAAATCGATTTTAGATTAGTCGTTGCTGAACTGAAGTCATCCTGTGATGCTCAGGTGTGGGAGGCATTGAGGCGGAGGCTGTGATGCTGGGCCAGCCAATAAGCATGGTGCTGCCTGAGGTGGTGGGATACAAACTGCACGGGACTCCAAACAAATTCATCACCTCCACTGACATCGTCCTCACGGTGACAAAGGTAGGCACAAGTTTAATGCAGAACTATTCCAAAAAGTTTAAAAAACAATCCACTTTGCTTGTTTCCAAGTTTGAAGACGTTTCGCTTCCCATCCAGGAAGCTTTTTCTATTCAAAATGTCAGAAATAGCTTTAAGTTCCAGGCATTATAGAGTAGCCAAACAAAGCCTTTAGAAAGCATGCAAATTGAAACGGACGAACGGATCCGCCCCTTTAGAATGGAGGTTGTTTAGCCTGCAATGCCCCATACCTGTCTATGTCTCTGAAAGGGGGGTCGTTAGAGGGAATAGTTGGCCTGCAATGCCCCATACCTGTCTATGTCTCTGAAAGGGGGGTTGTTAAAGGGAATTGTTGGCCTGGCTGAATAGGCGCAGTCTTCTGGTTCCCTGTAAAGGGTTGGGGTTGCAATGATAGTGGGAAGGGATCAACTCAATTGGAATTGGAAGCGAAACGTCTTCAAACTTGGAAACAAAGTCGAGCATAATGCAGGACCATCAGCAGATCGCTTTGTTTTCACGTCCGTGATATTATCTCCTCTCTCCGTCCGCGGACATGAAGCACCTCCGCCAGGTGGGCGTAGTGGGGAAGTTTGTGGAGTTCTTCGGCCCCGGAGTGGCCCAGCTGTCTATCGCTGACAGAGCCACCATCTCTAACATGTGTCCCGAGTACGGAGCCACGGCGGCGTTCTTCCCAGTGGACGACGTCAGTTTGAAGTACCTGGAGCAGACCGGTGAGGGTCCACTTTGTGGGGATGTCGAAGGCATCGCTCTTCTTTATGGGTTTGCAGATGTCGATTTGGGACAAAGTGTTGACGGCATTTTAATTTAGGACGGGAACCCGACACGTTGGCCTACGTTGCCAAGTACCTGAAGGCAGCCGCCATGTTCAGGGACTACAATGATGTCGCTCAGGATCCAGATTTCACTCAGGTCAGTGGAGCTTTTATTCTTCAAAACATTTCTTCTGTATTTGATTTCCACAGCAGATTATTTGCTACCAGAAAGTCAAATCGCATCAGTTTTACCAACGAGCCATCCTTTTCTCTTTAAGGTGGTGGAGTTGGACCTCGGCACTGTGGTTCCTTGCTGCAGCGGCCCCAAAAGGCCGCAGGATAGGATCCCTGTTTCTGAGATGAAAACAGACTTTGACACCTGTCTGGGAGCAAAGGTTAGCTTAAGAAAAATGTTGCATTATTATATTTAACCATTTATTTTGTCAGCTTCATGCAATACTGACTGAATAAACAAAGAAATCTTTTTAAACGTATTAACAATTCGATATAATAAAACAGGAACCTTTTAAAGGTTTAAAGGTCACTATCACTAACAGATCCATCACAGTCTTCTGTCAGATCAGCATACCCCGTGAGACTAGCATATAGTATAGTCAATACGAATGCGTATGTCAGGTCTAAGCACCTAAAACATCATACATTCATACAGGGAAAGAAAGAAGGCACAGAGACAATTAATTTAGTTTTACTCGCAAGGAGAGTAGGAAGAGACTACGGAGTTTACAAATCTCCAACCCACTCTGCCGGTCTTCAGCTTTCTCGTCGCTATTTATTGAAGTCAGGGGATGTCCCTAATTACACAGGCTGAGGTTTAACTAAGGGAAAGGGAAACAAAATGATCTTACTTTAAACCTCAGCACATAGGTTAAAACAAAGCATGTGGTTGTTTTACAACTGAATTGTTCCAAGAACACATGTTTAGAAGAAACATGTGATAGAGGCTGTTCAGGCCTCCGTTGCATGACCTTTATCTGGAACAATCTTTAGCAAGAGTTATAAACGATGAATCACACATTATACATCATAATAGTTCATTAGAACACAATCCATGAAACACAAACGGAGTATGAATGAAATATTTCTAACAGTGTAAGACGTCAGATTTGAATTTGTCCCTTTAGTTTTGTACAAAAAATACAATTTAAACTACCTCGACTGGTGTGTATCCCTTTAGTCGTGTACAAATGACAATTTAAGGTCAAATCGCCATATGCTTCAAAAAACACCAAAAAGTAAGTAATTAAATAGTTTTTTGTATGTGACTAAAGGGATACACACCCTTGAGGTAGTTTAAATTGTATTTTTCATACAAAACTAGACAGAAACTAAAGGGATAAACTAAAGCAGGGTTCACCAATTAAAAAATCAGCGGAGTCCGAATAAAGAAAATCATCAACCAGTAAAGGTCCAAAGACATATTTAATTTTAATCTGTTACATTAAACAGAATTGTACACTGAAATTAAATGAGGTTTTTATGCATCCATGTTATAGATGGAATTTTTAAATGAAAAGATTTTTCCATTTTAACATCTAAATTGTTTTTTGAAGTAGAGAACAACAATTGTTCAGTTTGGTTTATAGACAATTTCCTGATTCCCATATTTTCTCAAACCCCTGAACTGAGCGTTTGTTATTTTCTTTCTTTTTTCTGTCTTAATGTTGGCAGTGGGCTTTAGGCTGCCCTGCAAGGCTTTAAACCTGGGTTTGAATGGAGACTAATGCTGCGTTCACACCGGGGGCAGCTGGCGCGACAGAAGCAGCGAGTTTACATGCAAAGTCAATGGTTGACGCGCGTCAAGGCGCAGCAAAAAGTCCCGCGGCGCGTTTCAAGCAGCAAGCGCA